TCTCATTGACAAGCTTCTTTGATTCAATAGTAGAGAAAGAAGAGTGAGAAAAGGGTAGATAGAAGAGAAGAGGAAACATGAAAGGGAGTGAAGGAAAAGGAGGAAGGTGGCAATGTAGGAGAGAGACACGAACCCAGAACTCAGATATTGAGCAGTTCAGGACTTTTGGAGACTCAAAATAGACAGATAGTGCACGAGAAGTCTACGCATGAAATATTTTTTAAATCAAAAGCACTTATCTAGGAGTTCCCAACTCTTGTTTGATCAATCATCTTGCAAGGCTGAATCATTTTTAATTTAATGCTTCTGGGAAGTTGGGGGGGAAGCACTCATTAAACATCGGCACAGTTGGCAAGCGCTGCGCGTTAGCATTTGGCACTATTTATTATTGCTGTTTATGGTGATATAAATTAGGTTATACTGATATAATTAATAACCCTAAATTTAGGGGTAATAAATAGCAATATTGATATAAAACTGCAGTCTCTGAAGAAGTCCAGCCAAAAAAAAATCCCCACAAAATGCTGACTACCACGTTGTGACTATTAACATACGCGTGGGAGCACCAGGTACGTGTGTGCAGAAGGTATGCAGGTGTGAGCAGACACTGAGGAATGGCTGTATACACAAGCTGTTAACAGGAGGGTATGCAGCAGGTGCACAGAGAAGACAGCCTAAAAGCACATCACAAGATGGTATGCAATTGCATAGGCAACTGTTGGTGCACAGGCAACCTGTTGCTCAACTGTGTGGTAACGAGCTTATGTGGAACAGTGTGGACAGCCAACAGTGTTTGGTGTTTCTTTGTTAAAAACTGTTTGTGCTGCCATAATTTAGCTTTTACAAGTTCCCTTCCTGACCCTGGTTTTAATGGATGAATCAGAAGAACTAGATTGAAGAGAAAATGCTCCTAGTCCATATATTTCACTCCATTTCAAGCTGTGTGAAGGTTGTGGTGTGTCATAATTTTATTCTCCCAGGAAGAAAACTCAGGAAAAAAAAAGGAGGGGGAAATGCCCAAGGTCACATACTTCATCAATAGCAGAGCCAGGAACAAAGCACAGGCCTCTCACTCACCCAGTATAGTTTATAGCAGTTTCCTAATCAAAGTGCTGCATTTCTTCAAGAATTCTCCACCGCTGCGTAGAGTGGAATTTCTTCTATAGCTTGCCTGTTTAACCATGATTTAATTTAAAAAGGCGATAGAGGAATGAGAGAAAGCAGTCAGCCTAACACCAAACAATACTTACCTTGGGTTCTCACAGAACAGCCTTTGCAAAATAATCAACCTACAAGGACACTTTCTCTTTAGTAGTTTAATGTCTGTCGCTTTGGACCATCTTATACTACCATTCTTGGACATTAAGACTACTTTTCCTTGTAAAGAAGAAAAATATACAAATAACATATCAGGTCAGAACACAGGTCTATCAGAGGTAGCATCCCATCTCCAGCAGTGGTCAAACGCCACTGTGTGACAACTCACAAGATCCACTTAATAAAAAGCAGTGTCTAATATTAAAATATACAACCATTAACAGATCAGCTGAGTATTATTTAACAAACCCTCCATCTGACTGTTGTTCAGGACGGAACAAAGGCTGCCCAGGAAGGCAGTGGAGTCACCATCTAAGAAGGTGTTCAAGAAAGATGGAGATGTGGTACTTAGGGACATGGTTTAGTGGGCAATACTGGTGGTAGGGAGACAGTTGGATTAGATGACAGAATTCTTTTCCAACTTTAATGATTCTATGAGAACAGTCACACAGCAACACAACTGCTCATCAGTTCTCTCTGGATTGAACAAACTCAAATTAGATGTGATTTTAGGTAGTGATTTATATTCTTATGTGATGACAACCTTACTCATACAGACATGCTTGCATCACCACAACCTTCATTTAGCATCAGCAACAGGACTCAACTCTCTCCATCGCTGACAGACAGGAATAGATTCTCAGAGCACTGACTGATGTGAAAGGGAAGGCTGTTTCCCAGCTCAGCCACACACAGTCAGAGCATAATCGCATTACTGCCGTCATATCTGTGACAGAGGAACATTCTCTGCATGCAACTTTCAGATCACATTAACCAAAGCAAATACCAAGCCCCTGATCATCCTGTTGCTGCACAAGGCTCTCGAAGTGTGATTGCACGGTGTCCTGCTGGGATGAGCACTCTTCCACTGAGCTGTGCCTGCAGCAGGGAGCCAGATGGGGAAGGGGCACAGCTGGGCTGCTGGAAGAAATCTTTTGTAACCGTGCACTGGCATTCATCTTTGTGACGGGCAGGGAAGCATTATGCATACCCCAGCACACAGGACTGGGGAGGAGGGAGAGAGTGAGGAGCTTCAAAAGAACTGCTAACAGAAAAAAATCCAATCCTTTCTTAAATAAAGATACTGAGGTAATGAGACTAGAGCAGGATTAATACCAAATGACAGAAGGATGGATAGTAGAGAAGATGCACTTCCAAAGCACGAAGATTCGATATCAGTGATAATTCAAAACAAGAGATAAAGCAGGACAGGACAAAATGACAGGTAATGGCCTCAAGTTGCCATTAGGGGAGGTTCAGGTTGGACACCAGGAACAACTTCTCCAAAAGAGTGGTGATGCAGTGGCACAGGCTGCCCAGACAGGTGTTGGAGTCACTGTCCCTGGAGGTGTTCAAGAAACGTAGAGATGTGGCACTAAGGGATGTTGTTTACTGGGCACTGCAGTGGGTGGCAGATGGACAGTTGGACTACATGTTCTCAGAGGTCTTTTCCAACACAATGACTCTATGATTTTATGAAAACAACTGCTCACCACACACAGGTATTCCGGAGTCCAGCACAGAGCCTTGATAGTGGATTTGACATATTCATTGAGATTGTAAATCTCGAGGCAAATAAGTGGCTTCATGAAATGTTTTGTAGAGATGTAAAAAATAAGTAGTGTGGACCTGCTTACAACTGCTTAGTCAATAATGGCCGACAGACCCCCTTCTCCCCAGAAAACAGTTTCTCTCATAATATTGGCAGTGATTTGAAAGACAACAGAATTTAATACAGCACTCAAACCTGGATGAAGTAGAACATTAAAGGACAAAGAAAGCTGCATATGCACTCACAGACAGTAAGGGACTGAAAGTTATCTCCAAAAAGCTGTTAATATCTCTAGGCCAAGAAAAAAAAGCTTTTCCTTCAGTGCAGGAGCACTTCAATCCACTGAAAAGCACATGGGAAGAAGTAAGAGCAACAGAGCCACAGGAGGCTTGACAACATAGCATTTAAACTGGAGCACAATGGAATGGTTCTCTCCCTTCCCCAGGCTTCATGCTCAGCTACAGAGCCATGGCCAAGCCCTTGTTCCCCTGCTCCTATCCCACACCAAACTTTTCCACTCATCACCAGGTTTAACTACAGTTGAAGCTCCACACCTTCCCACATGATGTGAGCTCAGACAGTACCCCTCACCCAAGTGTCACCAAGAGCCACAATGTCCCTCCTGGGGGCCTCTCCTCTACTACGTTCTCTCCTGACAGCTGGAGAAAAAAGGTCAGACGTTCCCTCCAGTCCTCCATCTGCTGGAAGCTTTAATTAAGCAGAGTGAAAGGAAAAACAGAAAGCCACAGTCTTTCATTTTTGCTTCTGCTGTCTGGAGGAATCAAGGAAGCATTTGGTGCCAGCAGAAGCTTCCAAAACTCAGGGGCAGCATCCAGCGTCTCTGAACAGCCCTCCCAAACTACACACACTCATGTCCTGGGGAACACAGCAACACAAAAACTATGCTCATAGTCACAGATTAGAGGCTAAGAACACTCCAAGCTGCCCGCTGCTGAGGTCCTCACCCAAAACCAAAAAGGATTAGATTAGGACCAAATAAGTTCAAGTTTTTGCTTAGGGTCTTTTTCCTGTTTCTTCAGCACTTGATCAGCACAACCTGATCTGAAACCAGATGAATGATTGTAGTTTAAGAAAAATTGTTCCTCCATATTATGATATGTGTTTCAGTGCTTGTCTAAAACCAGCCTCCAGGTTTAAGAACCCATTCCAACAAGATTTGCAACAGTTCTTACTGAAACCTACAAGCCCTCGTTAGCAGGTTAAGAAGCAAATCTCCCCCTTGTTACGTGATCATAACATCCTGCCTCTACATCAGAGACAATTAAGTCTTATAACCAGCCCACAACTCACAATCACTGTACAAATACCCAATGAAATGAGCAAATTCCACTGTCCCTGGGGACAGTAGATTTTTTTTTTTTCCCAGCAAAGTGCATGCAAACCGTATCTTAGTGCACTTGCCAACCCCTCAGAGGAATTCCTCTCTCACTAGCTGCACGGCAATCCTTATTTTGTTTCATTTCAACATAGCAAGACTTCTTCCATTCCTGGGAAAACACGTTAGTACAGATGGGCAGGAGCAACATAAAGGCAATTCTGAAAAATGCAAAAAGGAATTGGTATATTCATAAGCCCAGAAAGACTTGGTACCTCTTCAGAAGCATGTGGGAGGGAAGAGGGAAAAGGAGGTAGGAGAAGGAGGGAGTTTCATTATATAGAAACATTTCCACGAAGATATGAGCATTTAATAGATCCTTACATATCTTTCACCCATTCAAGCTATATAAAGCATTAATTAAAGCCAGTTATTCCCAGGTATATCAGCTTGCAGATAAAGTTTGCCCTGCTGATTTGGCAAAATAGATAGTTCTCCATTCAGCAAGTAAAATTCAATTTGTCTGCTATCACTAATACTCCACCCAGGCAGATGGGACACCGTAGGGCCCCACACAGGTACAGAACCATGAATATCTGACACGTATGAGACAGCACACTGAGCTATATCCAAGATTTACATTCTCCTTATAGGACTGATCAAAAGATGAATAAAACACAAGACAACGGGAATTCTGGCCCAAAACACTGAAGACAAGACCTGCTAGGTGTACAGCAGTACAGCCTGCAGGCAAACCCAGTGAAAACTCACAATAAACATGCTACTACAACGCACTTGCCATTGATGACTCCATCAGGATTGAGCATGGGGACAATCTTGAAAATGAAACATTTCCTCAGGAGATCAGCAATGGGATCACTGCTCACAAGGAACTCCAGGGTTCCCTTCATTACCCAGCTGGCATTGCTTTCACCAGGGTGAACCCGAGCCATCAGAAAGACATAAGGACGATTGTCTGTAAAACAAAGCAAAGGCATGAAGATGTTATGCACAGAAGCTGCAGAGATATGATGGCGTCTTTTTGTTTCAGAGACAAAATCTTACTAAACAGTTCATAAATTCTAATGAACCCCTGTTTCAAAGTAGACTTGCAATTTGGCAGAGAAGATTATCTTGTTATCAGATACGTTATTTGCCAGTCCTGTGAAAAAGCACCCGCATTCGGCCTAGTTATACATCTCCAAAAACTCTCTGTATACATATGCTTAGAAAAGACCAAATTTGACAGCAGATTCTTTGAAGATCCCATCTGTGTTGAGCAAAATCCACAGATGGGCCAAAGCAATGGAAGAAGACAGAGGCAGACACCTGCCAGGCACAGAGAATAAAAGAAAAGGACAAAGCAATGATGTGTCTTAAAATTATCCTTTTGTGAGTGTTCACAATCTCAGGCCACTGTCAGAAGTCAACCTGACAGATTTGCTGTAGTGGAAGCCAGTATCTGTCACGGAATCACAAGGATGCCATGATGTTTTTTCCAGCTCTGTCAGAGCAGAGGCTCTCTAGTAAAGGGACAGAAAACAATCAAAGGCATCATCTGAGTATCCTTGTAAACAAACGCTGATTTAGCAAGTTATGCTCCTGTGTGCTCAGCTCCCAAAGCTGTCCTTCAGTTTTCTAACTGCTTTACAAATCATTACTCAATTAACATGAAAAACAGAGGTAGAATCACAGAATCTCTTGAGTTGAAAGGGACCCTTAAAGGTCATCTGGTCTAACTCCTCTGCAGGGATGCAGACAGATTTGGAAACAATTCCACCTGTACCCCTCCCCATTCTTAAGCATTTAGTGGGCATATCCAGTCTCCACTCAAATTCATATAAAGCAATCATACTGCGTTCCAGTAAAGCAACTGGAACTTCTGCTACTTAATATCCATATATTAATTTTTTTTTTTAATTATTCTTGCACCTTACCCTGAGATTAGTATATTTTCATTGAGGTGTATATATTTAAGTGCCCAACGGACTGTAAAAGATCCCTTCAGCCAGAGAAATACTAGTTGTTCTGCTTTTTTTTTTTTAAAATATATATATATTAGAAAATCTCATTCTGCCCCAGCTAGATGCTGTGCATTACAATCTACCTTAGTAATGCTTTAAAGCAGCAACAAGCAAAAACTATTTTTCACAAAGGCATCAGTTGCATTTTGCTATGTCCAAACATTTTCTTCTTTCTCCCATCATCGTGATTTAGTGCTGTTTTGCAGGCTCATTGCTGAGCTAAACTTATGGGACTATGTTGTCGTAGCTGAGAATGAGGCTCTTGAGGACTCCTAATGGACAACAGCTGTAAATAGCACAAAGCAAAATAAAACACGTTCTCTTGCAATTGATGAAAACAGCTTTAACAACTCTTGTCTCTTCTATACATTGGGAAAGCATGCAGCATGTTAATTGAGAGATTCTTTCTTCAGTTAATGTAAGAGAAAAAGAAACCATAAGAAAGGGTTTTCTCATCTCAGAAACGTAAGGTTTGCCATGATTCTGCTAACTGAAGATACTGTGAGACCAGCAGAGATGTGAGTTGTTCTTCTCAAGACTGATACACCCCTAACACTCAATGTGACAAAAGCTTCTAAAGTTTCCTGATCTTAAACCCCAGGAAATGGTGGACCCATAGGGTCCAAGTGGGGAAATCTCTCTATTCTACTTAAAGTTCCCTTTATAAGCTCCCCTCTCTGACAGACACATCTGCAATGCCAACACCTCACCCAAAGGAGAGATGCAACAAAGGTACATACCAGCAGGTAAACTGCAGATCTTGTCATGCATCCGCCCTCCCCCCACAGAAACCATCACAGACAAACTCTGTGCTCTCCAGCATGAAGACTAACCAAGCACTTAACAGAGAGATGGTGATACGGTCACAACACTTGTTACTCTTCACACACCTGAGAAATAGAAATGTGATTCTTTAACAGGCAGGAGTCACTCGATCCTATACCTCTAACCATATCCAGTAATTCATCTGCCATGAAGTGGTTTTAAATAACCATGATAAACGTTAGAACTTGGGACAGCAGCGGGCAGCAGTGCAGGCCAGCCCCACTCAGGACACCAACTGGCAGGCATCAGTCAAGATTTCTGCACTTCATTCCTGACTCACCATGCCCCACGACTGCAGTGCTGCTGATTTCCACTGGGCCTCACCTACTGTTCCGATGTGCCATTTCAGTCCTGAGCCCCTTGGTACCACCTTGTGCCACACTGCACCTGCTCAGGACACTGAGACGCACGTTCTTATATACTTCCTTCGGGGCCCGGGACTGAGCTCAATGCTTCAAAATCCCCAAGCCAATTCTTAAGCAGAATCCTCCTCCCCAAGTTCTGGGGAAGCTGCCAGAAAGCTCAGGTTACCCATTTATCTCTGCAAAGCCCACATGACACGTAACCTTCTCCGGGAATGTAAATAATAAAAAGAGAGAGCAGAAGAACCTTTTCATGCTACATAAAGCCTCATCCAACAGATCTTGTCTCATTACTCTGTGTTACATTCTGACATGGCCAGGATATAACGTGGCACTAACAAAACCAGAGATGAGAGATTAAAGCATCACCGACGCCTCTTGGAAAACTTTGAGCAAAAACCCTTTGAGTAATAAATCTAACATATCATCTACTTCCCACCTTCCCTTCTCTTTATTCATTTTAACTGTGGATATATGCATGAAAATAAGAGCTTTGTTCTTCCAGTACTGCTAACTTGTTGCTTAATCTCCTGTCTGTTGCAGGAATCTGCCTCTCTATTTTATCTGACTTTGAAGTTACTAATCATGACATCAGTTGGGGAAAAGATCAATCTGAAATAAAAGAATGAAACCCCATTAAAAAATCAGTGCCCCCCTCTAAAGAGGGGCACAGAAGGGAAATGAAATGCACTTCCAGATGCCCTGACCTAGGTCAAAATTCTAAATAACATCAAGCTGATATTTGGGACATTTGTAAGGGAACAAGGTTTTGAAATGATACAAGTCTAGGATTTTATTAGCAGTCAAAGGGACTCATATACATAGCATGTGACAAATTCAACCTAGATCCAGGTCTTGACTGGAATTGTTCTGGCTGTGCCTCTGCATATCTATCTTCCTATTACCACCAAACCAGGGTCCACAAAACGTAGGCTTCCTCCCCCCCTTATTCCTAAATACAACGTGACTTTATCATGAGCCCCGCACAGATCAAAGGTTCAGGTTTACCCCCAGGACATAGGAGATAAACCAAGAAAGCCAACGCTGCCTCCAAACTTAATTATCTGTGACCACTACAGCATATTCTGAGAGTCAAATGATGTGTAAAAAAGAGCACCAAACGTAGCTCTGCCGCGTGTGTCACGTCTGCATCCTGCCCTGGATACATCTGATCTGCCCAAGGCTGCCTAGTTATGCAAAGTCAGACAAAGACAGGATATGGTGTGATGTACAACGAATATATTAAAGTATATTGGTAACAAAAAAACAAAAAACAACAACTTCAAAAACTGAGATCACAGAAAACATGAGACTGCTCTGAGGCAGAATCTGTGTCAGTCACTTTCCTCTCCTAAAACTTTTCCTCAAGTTGCCACTCTTTCAGTTACTGCAAGATGTAATTCATTCCTTCCCCATTTTCCCTACCACAGCATTACTTCCTGACCCTGCTTTTGGCTTAATGCTGCTGAAACAGACACATCTTAATGCAGAGGCAGCTTACATAGTCTAGCAGGGCCCACTGTTGTTTTCCAGAATTATCAATGAGCCATCCCTCCCTTAAATACACTTATATCACACGCGTTATCACTGTTATGTATGGCAAAGAAGTGAATGTTACAAATTGCCTTGGCTAGCTGTTTTCTACCTTCGTAGCTTGGTGGAGGTGTTCCAGGCTCCAAGTTGCTTGGCAACCTCCCTTTGTGCATGTGCTTTATGAATTCGCTCACCTCTGAATCAGAATGATCAGAGATGACTGCAGAGATGAATACGGGTACAGAGCATCCAGCCTTGGTGCAGTTTGACATCCTATTACTGCTGGTTATTCTTGTTTGTTTTTGTGGGTTGTTTTTTTCCCCCCTTAACTCCAGGAAATTGGTATTCTTTAATCCATTTTTGGGCACGTTCCAAAACCCCAAATTCTGAAGGCAGATGGAGATTCTACCATCATTTGACTGACCTCCCATATGATGGAACAAAAGACCACCCACATGAACTAATTCCTATTCAAACAAAAGCTTATCTCTAGCAAAGGATAGGGAAACAAGTCTTGTTTTCAATACTTGTACCTGTGGAAAGCCTACTATAACCCTGAAAATTGTTTAAGTTTTCAACTAAACCTCCATCTAAAGCAGGTGCATCTGCATTAGTCTAGCAGAAACTTCCAGCCATTGCATTTCGAGCCAGATATGCCAACTCAACATTCATTGGCATATCCTATCTCACTCTGCCAATCCTCTGAGCTACCTAGATACTACTGAACTTCAAAATTAAGGCTGCAAAATTAAGTGCAGCTACCCTATTAGCTTCACAAGCACTCATCACAAACAAACTGCCTTGCATTTATTGTAGGGTAAGAACATTCCCATCCATGATTGTATGCTGCACATTCTCAGTCTAGCCTGGCAGCAACATCCAGAGACAGATTCCAAGGGAATAAAATTAAGATGGAGGACAGCTGGTTAGCAAGGAATACTGCCAAAAAGAATTGGGGGATTATATCAGATGAGTTGATGATGCAAAGAAGTTCCAAAAATGACAGCTCTCCTTCTGGGACACACTAACAGGCAATGTCCCAGCTAACACAAGGAACGCTGGTTTTTTTATTCCCACTTTGCTCAACTCAGTGAACAAGAACAATTTGCTGAAATACTGTGTCTACTCTGGCCACCAAAGTTCAAAAATGGAAACTGAAGAAAAAGCCATTAAAGAATGATAAAATGTTTGGGAGTCACAACTTTGAAGAAAATTGGAGAAAATGGATTTTC